TACTGACAATTAATTGAAAAAATGAGTGGGAACAGAAATTGCAATGCATAAAAATCATTTTTATGCAAAATAAATATTACCATTGAATTCTACACCTTTCAAAGTGTAGGAAACACCTTTACAATGTCAAAAAATAATGAAAAACAAGCCGCTAACAATTAATTGAAAAAATGAGTAAGCAGAAAAAAAAAAAAATCAAAGTCATTTTTATGGTAAATGGACTTTACCATTAAATTCTACACCCTTCAAAGTGTAGGAAAAAATTTTAAAAAATCAAAAAAACTCGAAATTAATGGCAAAAAAAAAATTAATTAAAAATGCGGGTTTAAAAGCGGAATGCGCGTGTGCTGTGCCGCAGCAAAAGCGCGTCAAAACGCGGAAAATGCGGGGTTTTTTTTATTAAGGCCCAAAATAAAAAGGAAATATATATATATTAAAAAAAAAAAAAATTAAAACCATTTTTTGGCAGTGCAAGCAGCAAAGGAAGAAAAAAAAAAAAAAAAAAAAAAAAAATTGAAGGCTTGCAGGCTACCAGGACTTCAAAATTGGTGTTTATGCAGCCCCCCAAATCTGAAATTTCCCCACGTAACATTCATTTTGCACCCTAGGGGTTATTTAAGGGGCGGATATCCGCGGATACCCGCTAGCGCCAGCGGATACCCGACGGCGGATGCGGATGTCTGATTCCGCTGAAAACGCGAGCGGATATCCAAATCCGAACGGATATCGGGATGCTCCGGGCCCATCTCTAGCCTCCACTGGCATGGATGATAGCTCCTCTTGTTGCTACCATTCCCACCTATGCAGGCCTAGTCAAGCTCGCCCCCATGGAGCCCTATCTGGGCAACCAAGCCCCTCACTATGCCTAGCTTAACACAAGTCCCTGGTGCTTGCACACTTGACAAGCGGCTACAGTGCACCACGCCGCAGCAGGGACGCGGGCTTGTGTTAAGTTTGAGCCCCTCACTATGCCTAGCTTAACACAAGCCGCACCTTCATTGACTCAAAAAGCAAGCCTCCAAAGGAGGGGCTTGGGAGTCAAGTGAACTTTTCGGGCTTGAGAGGTTTTGAGGTATTGGTGGGGGGAAACTTTCCCTACACTTCCAGCCACAAATACCACTTGCCTCTTGGATCATTAGAACCAGACATTTCTTGCCTACCATCTGATGAAGAATGGACCTCTCTTTCTATTTTGACCACATTCAAAACACCTTGCAAATTCAAGGATCCCATGAGCCTTGACCAATCGTATGCGGCGGTATTGTCTTTTCACTTACATCGCCCATCTTGCCAGCTAAAACATCCCATCTGCACACAGACATCTAAACCCAACACCCTCTACCCCTTGTCCCTCCTAAAACAAAACATTAACACCAAAAATCACACCTGCTCTCTGTGCTGTCATCACTGTCCTCAGTGGTTAGCAAAAAAAAAGCAATGCATGTCCCTATTGCTGCACTATTTTGCAGCAAAAGCACAAAAAGATTGCTCCACTGCATAGATGCCAGATTGGGTGTAGTGGTGTTTTTGCCGTGCTGGTGCTGAAGGTTGTGTTTGGCCGCTACCGCTATCGCTATTTGATGTCAAGAAGCTTGCAAGGCCTCTCGGGGTAGCAATGGTCTTCCCCCACTTTGAGCTTGTGTAACCAACTTGGACCATTGAACTGTTGCTGTTTGGAATGGAGCTGAGTTCATGATAGTTAACTCAATGCCCATGATACTGAAGCACATGATGGACACTATGCTTTCAGGGTGGCTGAACTTGGGTGAGTTATGGTAAAGTTGAGACCAGGAAGTTGTTTAAATTCTCTTCCATTGAAGTGACCTCTGATACTCATTCTCTTGTGTCTTCTACTATATACAACATTGGATTAATCTTGAACATGCTTCTGTTTTGTGAGAGGAAAAGTGACCATTGGGTTTGAGATAAAACGAGAAGAGCAATAAAAGTAGAACTGTGTTTGGGCTAGTGTAACGCCACAAGCTTTATTTTGCAGATCCTCAGAAACAAATACAAGAACAAAGGAAAGATGAATATTTACATAGAATTGGAAATACGTAGTGCAGGATAAATTGGGGATAAGTTATCACGGATATTCGAACCGATGAGAAAAGGAATTTATGTATGTAGAGATCACGAGAAATACAACAGATTAGGTCCATAGATTACATCAAAAGATTATCGGACAAGTCAGAAGCTTGTAAAATACACCTATCGACCAGATGGGTGAACGTTAGTAAACCAAAACGATTCGATGGTTTCGAGGAATGTCATTCTCACCTTGGAAGGAAAAACGATTCCATCATCGCTGACCAGGATAATCTGTCTAGCGGTTGGGCTTTGGCCGTTCATGGGATGGTGCGGCGGTTGAGCTAAGATGACCTCGGCACACTTGTGTTCCACATGAGGGCTGGGGATGTCACCGAACCAAACGTGCAAATGAGGCGAAAGATTCGCGCCGTAAATAACTGTTTTTTTTTGACAGGCGATGAAACGGGATCAGGTAAGTGCACTGGTTTCTTCAAGCCATGCGAAGAAAAAGAAAAAGAAACCCAACTGATCATTTTTAGCTCTTGTGGATCAGAGGCCGCCGGATTGGGTGGCAGGTATTTTGAGATCGTCGGTATCGGAGTCGCACTGTCGTAGCCGATCGGTGCAGCTGGGATCGGAGTAGTGAAAACGTCGCTGACTGCACCGGGGGAAACTGGGGAGGAGGGCTTGCCATTGATGAGCACGGGTGGAATCCAGAACGTGTGGCGTTCAACGTCTGGAGAGTGGGAGGGTCACAAGGAAGGGCAATTTTCAATCCTTTCGGTCTCGGCCAAGTCAGATATTTGAGTCCAGACAGAAAGCAAACAAGAACGTACCACAACCGACGATCGTCCAGACAGCTGGTTCACCACATTCGATAGTCCAGACTTTCGATGCGTGTGGATACAAGGAGTTGGAATGACTGCACTCGGACTCCGAACTGTGCTCATCATGACCACATGAACTAATCGACCCTCCTCGTTTTCGGTTTTTACTCAGCGCGCGACCGTGCAGCAAGGAAGCCGACGCCTTCCGAGGCCGCTTGACTTTGCCACCGTCCGAGGAACCCAAATCCAGGTCCAAGGTACTACTCGGGGTGTTACTACGAGCGCGGGAGTTTCCAGCAGAGGAAAGGATGGGCTGATTGAGGTGAGAGGCGAGATAGTTTGCCTCTGCTAGGGCGTCCGAGTTGGTGCCCCCAAACGATCTAGCTGAAGAGGCACTGGGGGGTGGTGTCATTATTGGAGGGACAGCCTGACGACCTGACTCTGCTCGATGAACGCCGACATTCTCTCCCAGACAGGCCAAGAAAGAGCCAGAGCCCGGGAATCCGGCGTATGGGGAGGTGACCGGAGCCAAGTAGGCCGATTGAGGATCAGTCATCACTTCGAGAGCGATTTTGTGAAGCTGAGACACCGGATCTCCTAAGACTTCACCGGGTGCGACGGGCATGTCCCGTTGACCAGACGACGCGTTCCCTTCCAAACTGGCACCCCCGATCGCGGTAGACCCTTTGTCCACCTTGCGAATAATCATCACAGGTGAGACTACGGCCGTGCTCAAGCATTGAAGCACGACAGGCTGATTATAGTAAATCGGAATCGGGCCACCGTTCGGACTGACTGGAAGGGCATTCGAGGGGGCTCGTGGATAACCGGGTGGGGGTGGGTAGGCAGGGGCAACATTGTCGGGTACGGTGGCTGGTTTAGATGGGTCTACCAGGTATATTATGAATGGATCCCAAGCGGAAGTGCGCGCAACAAAACAGGTGGCATCTTCACCAGGAGCAAATGGCTTCTCTTCCATCCCGCTCATCGCACGCCAATCGCCGGCCGGGAAGCTTGCCGATGGACCCGAAACACAAAGATACTTGGTCGAGACAGTTTCTGCGTTGGCGACATGGGTCACGTCAACAGCCTGCAATTAACATGGGACAGACGGGGACTCACGTGAACGTAACCGGTTGAAAAGAGCAATCGTAGTTCCGTGGTGTATACACACTGTCAGGGTAAGCAATTGGTGGTATGATAAGCTGTAAGTTTCAGCAAGACGCATACATACTTGTTGGATCCACACTTACAATCCAAATTTTTGATACTCTGTCTCTTCTTGCTGGGTTTACTAATCACCTTGATTGGTTTACTCGGGAAGGTGCCGATGTGACGAGCCTCGGGTGGGCCGAAACCAGGTGCAATGACACGAACCAAGGCTTCAACTTTCTTGGTCTTTTCGTCGACCTCCGAGATATGCAGCTGGAGGAACACACTGAATCAGAACAACGTCGCCTAACTCTGGGAAACATTAAACTTCGACTCAACCTGTTTTCCTACGCAACGCCCAGCGATTACCACATCATCTAATGATGCTTGATCGCCCACAACGTGTCCAGACATAGACATCCATTCGGAATAAGCCTCTGTCGGGATACTGTGCTCTCCTGACATACTGACGATAGTGGTGGGTGGATGCAGGGCAAGGCGGTTGGAGCTTGGCATCGGGCGTCGAGGGTCAGCATCAGCCGCAGCCCACCAACTGCAACCTAATAATAACGCCGAAGGCGGTGGACATAGAAACCTGCGAATTCAATGTGTTAGTTAGCGTTTATCAAGTTTCGCCTCGCAGAAGGAATAAATTACCTTTTCTCGGCTCCATAAGACTTCTGCGCAACTTTACCAGATAGAACTAATACTGTTCGCTCACCCAACATGAATCGGTTGGTAGAGGACAAATATAGTCGAATGAAAGGGCTGCAGCGACGGAACCAAAAAAATCACCTATCAACTTTAACCCTTTTTACAATGGGAAAGAGGATATCGATATTACTTACGCTAATAGAGCTTCGCGCTCTGCGCGAGAGATCATGTTCTTTGGAGACATGAAAGCGGCAAACAGTTGATCAGAAGGGTCTAGATGTAAATTGGAAAATTGATGGCCGATAGGAGCAGACATTGGCAGGGAGGATGGATGTGCTGCCGGATTCCATTCGTGGAGGTTCTCAAACTCAGCAGAGTTGGAAGATGTTGAGCGGTTACGGCTCATGGCATTACTCTCAAGGGATAAGGATCGGGAGTAAGCCGGGCCGGCAGACATGGGCTGAAGCGCCTGATTGTGGGTGTTAGGCGAGAGTGATCGGTGGGGGTGATGGAGGTCATGATTTAAAGTAATTGTCGCATCGTTACTTGAGTCCTCTCCAACTTGAGGGCGACGGCCAGTGGAGCCGGAGCGCACGTTCTGGAGAACGGGCGGTGCTGGGAAGCCACTCAAGGCATAAGCATGTTGCGCCGAATGTGGTTGGAGATCTGCCGAGTCAGACGGAGGAAGCGTAGATTGCGCCGAGGTTGAATAGCGCGAATTGTGAAAAGCTGAGTCCGCAGGTGCCGAAGATGGATGTTGAGGCGCCGAAAGATCAGAGGTGTTGAGTCTCAAGTGGCTGCTATTGTTAGGAAAGCCAGATGGTCCATGTGATCCAAGGTCAGGTTTATATCCTCCGTTGTTCACATTCATGTCGCTCGGAGTCATTGGTGTATTGATCCCGGCCCATGATCCAGAGCCTTCACTATCGCTCCGGGAACGAAAGTTGTTCATTCCAGCGAGGTTCGGTTGCAAGCCATTGGAAGAGGCCTGCTGATGCTCCTGGTACTGATTGTAGGGATCTTGAGAATAAAACTGTTGAGTTACCCTGTTACAAAAATGAAGGGTTGTTCAATCACTCCAATCTGAATACCGAACGAGCGAAGCACAACTCACGCGCTGGAGGGGGGAAATAGAGAGGATGATGAGTTCATGTGAGATTCGAAAGAATAAGCATTGAATTCTCCTGGTTGTGCCAATTCTAGCGAAGCTGAAGCAGCGCGGAAACTTGACAAGTCGGCGTGATTTGGGGACTGATGATGAAGGCCGGGAAAAGAGCGCGAATGAGACAGATGTGCTTTTCGAGAGTTAGACTGATGATTTTCAGATTCATCTTGCTGAAGTACTTGAGTCAGATCCGCATCTTGGTCGTAAAATGTCGAAGAGGGAAACATGGCCGACGACTCCCGCATGGTTTGGCTAGCTGCCCAGGAAGAAGGACCTGGGCTTGCTGAAGAATGAAAGCCATTGTTGGTCTGAGTCCAGTGAACATCATCGTTGGTCGGCTCAAAGGGTTTGTCACCATTTGATACATAGAGGTAGTCCACCATGATGCGTTCACGAAGCTATTCTGGGTAAGTGAAATGAAGGATTGCGCTCAGGAGTCCTCCTGTTGGCAGAGAGTGCGTATGTGAATGAGAGTAGCTTGAGAGTGCAGATTGATGAGTAATTTCTCAAGAGCATGTACTGAAGCTGAGCAGAAAAACGTGGAGAAGGTTAGGCTGAGGGAATGGCGGTATGTATGGGAAAGATCGAATCGGATCGAAATTGTATTATTTATATAGATTCAGATATATAAGGCTCCAAGGTGAAGGACTAAGTATCAAGGACGGTTGGAAATATATAATATAACACCTCAATTGTCTGGAGTGAGCCAATACATAGCTAACACTCTCTGGGCTTATAATTATCTGAGATGGGTGAGGGTATATGAACTGGCCCAAGCTGAAGGCCAAAACAGGGATGGGTGCGGGTCTGAACACTAGAAAATAATGCCGGGTAACCGCGTTCTTGGGACTAGGGAAGGAGCTCGCTGTAAGGCCGAGAGTCTATTGAGATTATGTCCAGCGCGAGGTTCAGGGGGGAGGAAAGTGGAGAGTGGCTGGCGGATACGACGGGGAGCTTGGAGGCCGGTGAGGCTCACTGTCACTGAGAGCGGAAGCTGGGGTTGGCGGACGCGTATTGTTAATGGAGTCTAGGCCGACCGCTGGATACAAAAGTGGGAGGCATGATCAAAGAAATGATGATGATTTGATCAGATTATGAGCAAAGCGCTTCCCATGCCTGGATAGCGTCCCTGCCAGCTTCAGCAGGCAAGTCGACTGACTTGAAGTTAACCACACTTTCAATTGAAAGAGCTCCACTACGCTTGTCTACTATGAATCACTCTTGTCTTGAAGGGCATTCAATCGAATTTCAACTAATTTCAGACAACAGCGTCCAAATCGCCAAATCGCCGAGCATATAGACTTCAGACTCTCATGAAGGTAGAGCATGAATTGACATATTGCTTACGTTTGTTGGAGAGCTCTCAATGCTTTCCAAGTCTTGACAAGTGATCATATTTTTAGACTAGACATCTTTATGGACCGCGCCGAGTCTCCGGGAAATTCGGCGCTTGCACAATCACATTCAATCCGCGTTCCCCGGCCGGAAACCTAAGAAAGAATTATTCTACGCTGGTGAAAAACAATTTATCGAGCAGACCAGGCCCGACGTCGATGATCTGGATACCATCTTGTGTCATTGCATAAGTCTGCGTCAATTAAGCCTCACCGCCGTCTGCACCAAATCCCACACTATGTAGTTTGAGGGGATGATGGGCAAATGGTTTTCGGGGCATGGCGGTCCCTATTGTATGTAGTGATGATACAATTTTGAATTTTCTTGAGAGAAAAGAATTGCTGAGCCGCTGGGTGGAACGAATGTCGATGCTCTTACGAATTCAAAGGAAACTTATCGACAAGACCCACGAGCTTCTCACACCGAAGACCGAACGTCAATCGACAGGCTTGATATAAGTTGAAGGGCCACGTGAGTAATGTGAAGTGGCGTGCGATGGATTGCTGGATGGCCAGCAGGTTTTGATCACGCTCGAATGGATTGCGCGGCTACGGAGAGCCATGAGATTGAGACTCATCATCGACTCGAGCAGGGAAACGATTATGTACAACTTTGGCCACACAGTCTTAAGCGCGATGTTTAGGTGTTACAAACTTGATAGATTGACAGACAAGACCAAGGATGGGCCTGGCCGTCAATCGCGTTCTTATTCTGTGTGGAGGACCATCAAGAGCAAGTCTATCGAGACAGAGTGCAGACGAGGTGGAGAATTGACATTCCCACAAACGGAACCCCAGGTTTTGACGCGCTGTATTGCGGCTCTTCGAACAGATCCATGCAGGTACAATTGTATATGGAGCTTTCCAAAATACATTTTTGTTTGCTTTGATCATCATTCGAAATGTATGAAAATTGGAATATCATTGCATTCCGAGTTGGTGGAAAGAAGAATGAGAGCAGATGTTGAAAGGCCCATAAGAATAGAGAATAAAAAAGAAGAAAAACACCATCTATATTTGATTAAAAAAAAAAACAGAAAAAAACTGTTTGGTTTCTTTAGGATAGTTTGAGAGATTTGCGAGAATGGTCGAGTTGTATTATTCTTGGATCTTTATAAATTGTTGTCTCAGGCACCAAAAAAAAAGGGGGGGGGTTATCAAAAGAAAAGGAAAGGGAAAAAGAGAAGAAGAAGATCTTGAACGACAATGTTGAATCGACCAACTATCTACAACAAGAAAAAAAAAGCTGGATTGGTAGGTGTTTTATAGATGTCAAAGAAGTAGACAACGATAAGTTAAAGAATGATGAACCAAAAAAAAGTCTAAACAAGAGGGTGTTCAAGTGTATCAAGAAGATCACCAAGACATTTCCAAGTCCTTTGGTCTGTTTTTTTTTTTTTCAGTTTCGAGTTTTAGAAAAAAAAAATGGGGGGGACGAGGAGATAAAAAAAAAAGAAGAGAGATACTCACATAAATACAAGAAAGGAAATAGGAAGCAAGTCAGAGTAGAAAGAACAAAAAACGGAGATCAGAGGGGGGGAGTGAACGGGCAAGAACTGGACGATTGAGTTGCGAAGAAAAAAAAGGGAAGACCCAGCGATGATCAAGACCACACATCCTAGAGAAGGGCCCAGAGAAGGATCAACAAACAATCGAGCAAAAAAAGAAAAAGAGGGGAAAGTAGAAGAGAAGAGAAGATGAACGGACCAAAAGCAGACGATTCCGGTCTTTCAAGAACTTCAGTTCAGCCGCCCCGTTCTTGGTCCCGGTCGATTCGAAGATCGTCTTCAAGCTTTCTTCGACACATTTGACCATGCTCTTCCCATCTCCACAGATAAAGATATACCCCTTCTGCTCGATAATCATCTTGTATATCCTCTCGGTTTGTAACTTGATCAAGTCCTGGACGTATTCTTTCTTCCCTCCTAGTTCTGGTCTCCTTGAGATCGCCGTAAACTGTGGATGAGTTGAACCATATTCTTCAATTCAAAATCACTCTCTCCGTTAATTTTAAATGGAATGATGCAACATACCATCTTGAACTTGCCGTTGAATTCTTCTGCATATTCAGGCCACTCGTTCTTATACAAGAAATCTTCCTCTTCCTTCCTGCACCCGTAGAACAGCATGATCTCTGCCCAATCGTTGAGGGCATCAGCCTCGCCTTGCAGACCATTGGCTTCCTTGGCTTTAGCTTTTGCTTTGCGAGCCAACATCATTCGTTCCTGGACGAACGCTCGGAACGGCGCCACTCCCGTCCCTGGACCGATCATGATCACGGGAATCTTCGGCGACGTAGGCAGTCTGAAGTTCGATCGTCGGACGTGGATCGGGATCTTCAACTTCGTGCCGTCTTCTAGGTATTTGCCTCGCGGGCCAGATAAGGTATAATGCGGGGCTCCGCTTGAACGCTGGTCAATCGGTTGGTGTTCCATCCGCTCCTTCTCCCCGTGTAAAAACATCTTGGCGTTTAAAATCTATTTAACCCAGCTCATATTAGTTGCTCATTATGTTCCGATAGGGGGGACAACGAGAAAGCAATATTGACGCACATAGTTTGTTCCACAGCCATAAATCATCCGGCTTCCTGAAGGGTATTTAAGCACGACAGCCTGTTGTCCCAAAACAAACGTGATGGTGAACATGAATAAGAACAAGGTAAGCAACACGTGTGATGAAAGAGTTGGAAGGTTCACTGACGGTTATATGGATTTGATCGGGATACATCTTTGGACTGGAAGAGATCGAGTAGAACCTTGGCTGAAGACGGGGCAGACCGCTGATGATCTGATCGAATGGGATCTGGTAAGTCTGAAACCAGCCTTGACCGAAGCTCTCAGACAGTGGGTCTTCAACCGACAACTTCTCAGCTCCACCAGGCAGGACGCTCATCAAGCACTCTCCTAATCTCAGACCGGGCCCGGCGACAACACGCTGATAATGCTCCTTGTCGGTCCCGATAGCTTTCAACGCCGCACTAGCTGCTTCTGTGGGCGCAAACCTGGCTAGTCCTGACAGCAGCTGACGAGATGCAATGCATGAAATGTCAAGATAATGCCGGAAGATAGCCTCATACGATGCTGGTGTCGGGAACGGCACTTTGGCCAACATGGGGTCTAGCGAGGAACTGTTTTGATTTTTAATTCAGCAATCAACAAGTTGAACCTTGATATTTTTTTTTTTAAAAAAAAAGGGGACTACTGACATCTCTACTGCTGTGGCTCGCTTCTCCCACAGTCCAAGTAATTTCATTAACCTGGCGACTTCAGAATCTGGGTTCACGGGCCATACGGCTAGATGGTCACCCGTTTGGTATCTAATTCCAGTGCCTTGAATTTCAAACTCCATGTGGACACAGTTCCGGTCCCCGGCCGCAAACAGTTCTCGGGCATTGGCTACTCTGGCAGGACAGGGGTTCTGTGAATTAAGGATTGGTTCAGCTTGGAGAAATAAAGGTAGGATAAGGGCAGATTTAGGAGATGCAGAAAGCGAGGCTCACCTTGGCGTCAAAGATACCCCGAGTACCCATCAATGCTCTTCCACTTAGTTCACCCCGATAAACTTGACCGTCATCTATTGATCCCTCTTTACCTGGGTTGACTTCAACTTCTTTGACCAGAAAGTCGGGTTCGTCTCCTCCTGCACCTTCTTCCCATCCCATCACTTTCTGGACTTGCTCCCACATTGGGTCTTTCCAGGCCAGATAGTCTATAAAAAAAAGACAGAAAAATCAGTCAGATTAAGCTTGAAAAAAAAACCTTATTTTTTTTTTGTTTAAAAAAAAATTACCTTCTTCCATAGATTTATCATCATCGCCCATCCCCAGCTCTCCGATTCTCTTAGCTCCACGTTTGGTTAACAGCTCATCAACGATGATTCCCATTTGACAGAATTGTTCATAGGTGCGATTTCCGAGAGCGAAGACGACATAGTTGAGATGGTCTAGTTGGTTTCCTTCAGTCTGTTGTTCTTTGAGTTGTTCGAGCATGTTGACTGCATTATCGGTTGGCTCTCCTTCGCCATAGGTCGCCAGAACAAAGATCGCTAGCTGGTCAGCTCTCAGCTTTTCGAGACAGTCAAAATCGTACTCGTCTGGATCGGCAACGAGACTGGAGATGCCAAATTTCGATTTGGCCTCTTTGGCGATCCGGGTCGCATAATCTTCGGCTGTGCCAGTTTGGGAACCGTAAAAGACCACCGCTTTCTTTTTCTGTTGGGGGAAAAGAAGAAAAATTAGGAAACCAGGCTTTTTTGTTTCTAAAAGTGAGGGGGATGATGAACTGACCTGTAAATCCATCTTCTTCACAAAATCTCTGCCGGCAGCCAGTAGTTCAGGGTTGGAGTCGGATCGGGGGCCATTGTGGATGTTGAATCCTTGGAGCTGTTGTTGATGGGTTGGGTTTGTTCGGTGGACGGTTGAGGATGATGGGTTGGCGAAGAGTCTTGCGTATAGCCAGTAGAGGGTGAGTGCTCCTATGACTGAGAGAAGGATGAGGTCGGTGGATGAGAGTGAGAGCATGTTGGTGTTTGGTGTTTGGTTCTTCTGAGTTGAGTTGAGTTGGTTGGGGATGGATGGATGGTGTGAGGCTTGGTTGTTTTTTATTTGTGTTAGTCAATCGACGATTGATCGGTTGCTGTCTGGTTCCCTCCTTTTCTTTTTTTCCCAACCGGTTCAAAATATTATTGTAGCTCAGCCAGATCCAACGATGGCCAAACTTCAAAAAAAAAAAAAAAAAAAAAAAAAAAAAAAACCAATGTAAATAAGCCTTGCGACGACCACCCGACCTGGGCCGTAGCAATTAGTTCTCGTCACCCCTAACTTCCTGAAATCTCCAATCTAAAAATCTAGTGATCATCCGGACAACCTAGTACAAACTTGTGTCTCTCTCAAACCACCATTCCAGCCAGCTCAACTCGAACCAAAATATCATTAACCCTCTTCCGGCGGTACTGTGATCCTCCGATTGCCTAGACTGATCAAGCATTAAGAGACTCGGTTGATGGCTGGCCTGCTTCCACACCCGATAATTAGCTCTCCAAACGAGAAGTCCGTTGGGATTATATTGATCATTTGAAACTATGTAGGCCTGCAGTTCTGGTGTTTTTTTCTTTCTCTACAGCGAATTCCGAATTTTGTTATAGGGCAGTTGAATTGCTCATTTATTATGAACAATATTGTTTCCTGCGGGTGATTATGTAGAGATTCAACTCGTGCAAATTCTTCTCGGTCTTCCCATCCAATCATGTCATGAAATCATAAACTTATAAAGCTACAATCGTAGATACAGAAAGTAAAAAAATAATTGGCAAAGCTTATCATAATAATACAATTCAAATGTACCATTCCTATTTAAATCTTGAGCGATAAGATTAGACCCATAGAGTTGGAATGATGTTCCACTTCTCCGACGGATCGTCCCACTGAATTCAAGGGCATCCCATTCTTGCTATGTATGGAACCTATTGTATTTGAAGCTGAAGGAATCCGGAAGCGTAGCGATTCTCACTACCAGCAGTGAATCACCGTCCTGGAAATAAATGTGTGGCCCACATTCTCCTCGCCAGATGAACAGACATGAACCAGCAGAAAAGCGAGTCCAAATTATCGCACACGTCATTTATCGACCACACTCTCCTCCACTCGGCGTTCAACTACGTTCGTTCGTAGTGTCGGCTGGTGATGTGAAGCCACGCCGACCTGTGCCAACCATGGCCTAGTCCAAGAACAAAAAAAACAAACAAAAAAAACGCAATCGGTTGTTAGGAAAGCGCTATGATGGATTGGATCTCTCATTCATACCATCACACACAAAAAAAACAAATCGCATTCTTAAAACCCATTCTCGTCCAGCCTTTCTTTGTTGGTTATTCATCCTCTATCCTCATCTCCTAGTATCACCTCCATTCGTATCTGAAGCTGGCTTCTTCTTCCGTTTAATTTAGTTCAGTAGTAGATCTTTTCTTTTTTATCCCCCGTGTTGTGAGCTACAATCCTCTTATTTATCTCAAGCCCTCTATTTATTGATTCCGAAGTCAAACTGTTGTCTCTCGAGACTTGAATCGTCATAACCGAAAAAAACCCTAGTGTTTAATAACCTCCGCTTTCCAGCCCAGCTTGAAGCTTAAATCAGTCCAATTAGACACACCAGCCAAGATGCAGCTCTCGTTTATCTCCGGAATAGTCTGTCTATCGCTGCTGAAGTCTTCGGAAGCCGCTCCACAACTGTCCCTAGCCCAGGCAGCAAGTCATCTAGCTCGGCCCACCAACGCCCGAGCGACGCTGATGAGCCCGACGGGAGCGCCGATCTATGGACTCGTCGAGTTCCGGGCTACAGCCACGATGGACGTTCAAGTCCAAGTCACCGTCTTTGGACTCGATCACTCCCTGCCTCATGGCGAGCATGCTTATCATAGTAAGCCCTCACACGATTTCCATAGCTCATATTGCGGGGTGGACATCGTCATCTAATGTCTCATTGCTCCTCTCCTATAGTCCATGCTAATCCGGTTGGCGCCGACGGTAATTGTGAAGCTACCGGGGGACATTTGAATCCGACTGGAATAGCCGACAGCGTGACCTGCAATCCAATGGTTCCAAAGACATGCAAGGAGGGGGTACGTTGTGTTGTGGTGGTGTTGGGGGGCTCATGATCAAAGAGTTGATCGAACTGATCAACAACCACCCTCTCCGTCTTCATAGGATCTCAGTGGAAAACATGGCGTCTTGGCAGGCGCTCAGCGCAGCATTCAACTGTCTTACACCGATCCTAATCTGCAGTTTTCGTCGCCAGAATCTGGAATCATTGGGCGCGGTTTGGTGATCCATGACTCGAAGGGCGCCCGGATCGCCTGTGGTAAGGTTCTTCCCTTCGCCCCCATGATCAGCTCTTTCATATATAATCAAAGACTTACACAAAACACTTTTTTTTTCGTCTGAAGGCAATATCATCCGGGGCAACTAATCAGATGGATAGCCTTCTGTTACCAAGCCCAATCCTCAATCCACACATGTCCCCCCATATTTGCTTTTCTTCCATGACAATGATTTGATCAGTAGACATACACATAATCATTCAGATCACAAAAAAAACATAAAACGTTGAGTTTAGAAATCGCAACTTTATTATATTCATAACATGCACAAATATCAACTTTTCTTCAATTCTATGCAACTGTGAGATGGAGAAATTACCTTGTGAATTGTTTGACACAGAACTTCCAGTAGGGGGGTTCACAATTGAACTTTAAGGCCATTTTTAAGATGTTTCTGATCATAAATTTATAATTTTTTGTGATTTACAGAAGGTTCAGAAACCAATAAATTGGAAAAACTCAAAATTTTTATAAAATGTTGCTCATAAACACCTTAAAAACCACTCTCAAGTTCAACTGTGAACCCTCCTAGTGCATATTGAAATCATATAATTATCTGCTCAGATTCAGATTGGCTTTTATCATTGACAGATAAAGTGGCACATCAATGTGCATGAGCAAACAATTATGAGCCTCCAAAATTCTTGTTGAAGCATTTTATGTTGCCCACAGCATATGGGTTTGTTTTGCTTTATAAATTTGCACATGATCAATGCATAAACTCCCTCCATAGAATATTGTTAGAGAGGCAGTCAAAAGTTGGAAGCTGATAAACCCTTAAATTTGGAGGGACACCCATGTGTTGCTGGCATAGTGGTATCCAATCACCATTTAAAGAGCCCATCACATTTCATCCTCATAGTCATAGTCAGACACAGCAATAGTCAAGAACTCAATTCCAGTTGCAAGCCACTGCAGGACTGCTCACATCAGCACAAACATGCATCATCACACTCTCATTGCTCTTCTGTTGCTCTCCATCTGTAACCATTCCTGGGAAGTAAACATGCAGAGAAGGTGTGGGATGTGTTCTCTGATTCACCTAGATGTGAAGGAGGAGAAGATGGGCAATTTCAAGAAACTCTCCCAAACAGGTTCAACTGGTACAAAAACTTGTGGAGAATTGCAACATGGAAATTCTATTTGTGATTATGTGTACACAGTGGAGTTGTTCATATGTAGATCCTGTGGTTCCCATGCATGGAGGATCACAACTGAGGTACATTGCCCCAGACACCAACAGCCTGAAGAAAAGCATTTTGATCCAAGATTCCCGGATGATGATAAGGGTAATAAATAGGTCAAGAAAGACAAAGTAAATCAAAAGATGGGAAATACATCGTAACCAACAAAAAAAACCCTAGCGTTTGATCACCCCCACGGTCCAGCCTAGCTTGAAGCTTAAATTAGTCCAATTAGACACTCAAGCCAAGATGCAGCTCTCGTTTATTTGCGGATTAGTCTGTCTATCGCTGATGAAGTATTCGGAAGCCGCTCCACAACTGACCCTAGCCCAGGCAGCAAGTCATCTTGCTCGGCCCACCAACACCCGAGCGACGCTGATGAGCCCAACGGGAGCGCCGATCTATGGACTCGTCGAGTTCCGGGCTACAGCCACGATGGACGTCCAAGTCCAAGTCACCGTCTTTGGACTCGATCACTCCCTGCCTCATGGCGAGCATGCTTATCATAGTGGGCCCTCACACGATTTCCATAGCTCATATTGCGGGGTGGACATCGTCATCTAATGTCTCATTGTTCCTCTCCTATCTATAGTCCATGCTAATCCGGTTGACGCCGACGGTAATTGTGAAGCTACCGGGGGACATTTGAATCCAACGGGAATAGCCGACAGCGTGACCTGCAATCCAATGGTTCCAAAGACATGCAAAGAGGGGGTACGTTGTGTTGTTGTGTTGGGTACTCAGGAAAGAGTTGATCGAACTGATCAACAACGACCCTCTCCGTCTTCATAGGATCTCAGTGGAAAACATGGCGTTTTGGCAGGCGCTCAGCGGAGCATTCAACTGTCTTACACCGATCCTAATCTGCAGTTTTCTTCGCCAGAATCTGGAATCATTGGGCGCGGTTTGGTGATCCATGACTTGAAGGGTGCCTGGATCGCCTGTGGTAAGGTTTTTCCCTTCGCCCCCATGATCAGCTCTTTCATATAATATATCAAAGACTTACACAAAACACTTTTTTTCGTCTGAAGGCAATATCATCCGGGGCAACTAATCAGATAAAAAATATCAAAAATTGAGTTTAAAAATCGCAACTTACTATCTTCATAACATGCACAAATATCAACTTTTCTTCAATTCTATGCAACTGTATGATGGTTTGCTCAAATTGTTTTGTATGATTGATAGATACGTAAAGTGACATATTGATGTGCATGAGCAAATTGTTGGAATGTGATTCCAGGTCTTTGCCCTCAAAAGAGGAGAGTATCAGGTTAGTTTATCACATGCCTGATAAACTTCCTGAAAAACAATAATAATCATCGCGCTGATCAACTATTTGTGATCATTTGCAGAAATAAGCTGTTCAATAAATGAACAAGAAAGAAACAAGATCTTAGCTTGTGAATTGAGCAATGATGTCATTGACATCATGAGCAAAGAGAATAATGATGATCATGATCAATCATCGAGCTCTTAGTGAGTTTTGATTGATTGTATCAGAGTAGCAAGATTGTGAACAAAGTCATTGAACAAGTTCTACTTCTTTGCTTACTCAAAAATCATCCTTATTTTTCTCTCAGTTCGCACTCGCACAAGTCTAAAGATCACAAACTCATCAATTGTATATTTCCACCGATAGTCGGTGAGTATAGAATAAACCTCAAATGCCTTTTTCTTAAAGAAAAAGAGAAAGTAACAACTTGCTGAGTTATTCTCAATTCTGACAAAATTGCAATAGACTCTTCAGGCGATTAGCTTGATACAGCTGTTACTCAAACAAGAGATATCTTTTCATCTATCAAAGTATAGTATTTCTCTATGATTAAGCGATAAGAGCAAGGAACAATTTAGGCTAACAACATAATTTTCTTCTGATAATTTATTCTGTTTCTATAACAGTTATCTGAATATTATCTTAATTATCCGAAGTTATTTTTATTCTCATTCTCATCAAGCCTTACTATTATCAGAAAATATCAGATTGGTTCTGCCTTCAGGTATTGCTCTTATTTCTTTATCATCTTTTATCAAATTAATCATTTGTATTTTATTAGAAAGATTATTTACTTATAAAAGAAATGATACTTTCAGTTTTCAAATTCTTTCACAAATTACAATTATGAGTCTCCAAAATTCTTGTCCAAGCATTTGTGTTCACACAAC